GGGCGAGGCAAAGCCGTGGCGTCCCGTCTGGTGCCCGGAGTTGCCGGGTTTCTAAAGCACTTGTTCAAGGATCTCGTTTTCAGCCCTTCTTAGAGCTCCCGTAGCGTATCGCGTCTCTCCAGGAATGAGTTGTGGCGCTGAGTCTTGGCTATTGAAGAAGCGCTTTTCTGATGCATAATGGCAAAGCTGTCGGCTTTTGTGCTTTGAAGATGTGGAACCCATCCACACGCTTGTGTTGGAAAACTAGCTCCGTTTTTGAGCGTGAAATAGATCAATTCATTTATGATTTGAGTTTTCTGCTGTGTTTTTACACCTCAGCACTGCGATCCCGTGCAGTCTGTGCTAGATGTACCTACTTTGGCTTGAGGGTTGGAGTAGATGATCTCCAGAGATCCCTTCCAACCCCAACCATTCTGTGATTCTGTAACACAAAGCACAGAACGGTTCTAGAAATAACAAGGAATGGGAAGAATTTGTTTTTTTGGGGTTTTTTTTAGGTAAAAAACTTTCACCCTGAAGTGTAGTTAGCTGTGTTTGCATTTTCTGGTGGCAGGAAGATAGATAAAGTACCTGTCTCTGGTGATTCTTGGCTCATTGCTGCCGCCGTGCTGCTACGCCTCAGTTAATCCAGTAGAGCTGTGTGTGAAGCTCCCTCATCAACTGAAAAAATGGAAACAACTGTTACTCTTTTGAAATTTTCTTTCCTTGGAGTGATTGTCATCTGGGGCAGTGCCTTGCTCTGGTTCTCGATGGGACGCCCGAGGGAGCAGCGTGGGAGTGGGAGTGCGAGAAAGAAGAGGGGCTGCTTTGAGCCCGGCTGCTGAAAGAGTTATTTGTTGAACCATTGTTGGAGCCATCACAGGGCCCGACCACGTCCCGGCCGACCTTGGGCTGGGAGTGAAAGGGCTTTATTCATGTTCCCCCGCTTGCTCACAACTTGACTGTTGAGCATAGCTTGCTTTCTGTCGGGGCTCCTGCTCAGAGACCTCTGGTTCACACACGTTCTTGAAGAACTGCATGAATCCTTTGCAGCTGCAGTATTGCGCAGTGCAGTGCATTAACTTTATATAAACTTTCTCTCTTCACACGTATTATGTATGTATAGTGAGGTGGAAAGTCAGTGCTTCACAGGCTGGCTCTCACGGGAGACCGGAAAAATGTGGAAAGAAAACAACCAAAGAGCCAAAGTAAGAGAAACAATACAAAATTTTTTTTCTGCTTTATGTTTGCGTGGGAAGTGTGGAGAGATGCAGTAAATCAGCAAAAGTGAGTGAGAGGATTGAGGATCTACTAAGCAAATAGATTTGGTAAGGGAATAGAGGGAAGCACGTGCTTGGAAAACTTTACAGAGAACACTGTAAAAACAGACATATAACGTAATTCTGTAATGGAGGAGGGTGATTTTGTACTAGGTTTATAAATGTAAATGATGTAAATGTAACGATGTAAAATATATTTATAGTGTCATCAAATAATATTTCCTAATTTAACACATGCTGTATAATTGTTCAAGTGTTTCCTGCTACATTCTGGGAAATTTTTTTTTTTTTTCTGAAAGAAATGTAAAATCACTCTCAGAATGCAGTCTGACCTATAAATCTGATTACAGTCAGACTGCACGAAGTCTGAGGTGCAAGTATTTAGTACCTCTGATTTTTGAAAGTTTGACTTCTGTGAGAGTTTTGGCAACCATTGCCCCTGTACAACAGCATACAGTGCTTGTCATCAATTTATTAAAAGGAGGAAATTAAAGAAATCCTTGTTGCAGTCAAAGTGGCCTTCTGATAGCAACCACCATTGTCGCATCCAAAACCATCATTGCTTTCTTATTTGGACAAGGAACATCAACAACAAGGGGCTGATGTGGTCAAGGGTGAAGACGATTGACTTGCTGCTCTTCAGGAAACAAGAGTGATAAAGCTGCAACAGCCAGCACAGCCAAACAGGTGCAGGTCTTCCAAAAGTGAGTGCAGTTGTGATACCAGTACTGATGATACCAGTGTGAGTATTTTTCTGTGTGAAGGTCATCTCAGAGGGCTGCACCAGATTTCCGTTTCTTTGTTTTTCCTTCCTTGAAAACACACAGGTCAAGAGAGGCCTTTCTGTGTGGACCACAAAACCGAACACTTTCTCCTTCTGTAGCTGATCAGTCCCATCTGAACCAGCATTGTCCTCATCATGGCACATGGAGTACTAGCTGTGAGGAACTGGTTTCTTTTCTGTTGTCCAGTCTTGATCCCCCACCTGCTGCCTCTTGCCACATCTATCCATAGGCAGCAATGGAAGAACAGGTACTACATGTGCGAGATTTTCAAGTCACTTAAATACCTGTTGGTGAAGAGAGGTCTTAGTGGCATTTACAAATGAATACGCTGCTGTCTGTGAAATCACTTCATCACAAATGGGAAGCTAGCATAGTGTCTCTACTTGTTTGTTTGTTCCTAAACACCTCAAAGTACAGTCCAGAAGTTACCTCAAGTCTGTCGCTTCTCCCTCTGCCCATTCTGGGTGATTTCAGGGCATTCAAGAAGATTCTGTCCTGCCTCAGGTTTCTTCATACAAAAACATAGGACAAAAATGTCACCTTTTCTTTTTTTTTTTTTTAAATGTTCTTTCTAAGGTCTCTTCATATATACATGTATGAAGGAAATCTTGTGGCGACCTATGGTTTAAGGTGACTTCAGATGTATTGTGTGTTGAAGTGGGCTGGAAGCTATTTTGTTGGCACACCAGAATGCCTTGTAAGAAGTCGTTTGAAAGAGATGAGGGAAAAATCCTAGGCTTCTGATGTTTAGACCAAGCCCTAAAAGTTGTCTATTGTTTCTGTCACACTGAATAAATTACATGGTAACTGTGAGTGAAATTGCCAAATACGTTTTCATCGAATTGTCTTTTGGCTGATACTTTTTTTTTCTACACACCTTTTTTTGGGGAATGTTTTGATCCGTACTTGACACCTGTGTGTTGCTTTTTATTTTATAGAATAGACTGATGCATTAATTCCATGTAATTTTTAATGTATCTCCTTTCTTACTCTGCATCTTCATGGACTTTTCTTTCTTTGTATTTTTTCTACCTCATCCTCCTATATTTTCTGTTCTCTTCTGTGTTATTTTGCCAAGGTTTCCTTTCTGTTCCCTCTACTCATTCCATCTGTTCTCTGTCTCTCTCTCACACTTGTATCAACATTGAGAGATGTCAATAGTATGCATGCCTACACACCACATCTACATTTTGGATTTTGACTACCCCAAAATGGAAAGTATGCTTCTGTTCACTTCCAAAATCTGTTTAGTTTCCTACTTACCTCATGTGTTAGGAGGCAATAGCATCATTGATATTTGCTGGATCAAATGTAACTTTGGTTATTAGGAAAGTAATTGACTATAAGAGAGTAATGTTATCGGAAGATTAAAGTAGATTTTCTGGTTTAATGAATGTCCACACCTGTTTATGGTAGTGGGAAACTCAGGTTCTCTGAAAGAGTTGTGTTTGGAGTGTCCATGGGCATGTTAACATGTGTCCGTCCGCCCTCGTGGCCGATGCCCAGGCGTCCTTCCAAGGGCCTGTGCACAGCCTGTGTAGCTGCCCGGGCCTGGCAGGACCCTCACCTCCTGCCTGAGCACATGGACATTGATCACTTTTTTTCTTCAAGCTTTGGAGGGTAAATTTCAGTCATCTCTACGAGCAGAGTGTCAAGCTAGTTATTTGCCTGGACTGTAAGTCTGATTCTGCAGGAGGCTTGTGCAGAGATGCGTGTAGTCTGAGAACCAACTTTTGCTGGGGAATGACCCAGTGTTGTGCAGTTTTAGTCAAAGATGGATGTTAAATTTAAAAGATAACTTTTTTTTTTCAGTTTGTTTCCGAAAGAAGAAACTCAGTTTTTAAATGTTACTTTTGCCTCAGGCAATGATTTTTCTTCGCACACTGTTTTTAATGGGCAAGATGACTCATAAAAAAATATACTTTTTTATATACTTGAATCAAAATACTTGATTAACTGAGTTTGCAGAAGTCCAGATGCAGTTCTGTGAAAGCTATGCTACCAACCCTTTAAAAAGGGGAGGAGGGAAGGAGTGAGATGGAATTTGGACCATCTCAAGCGATCTTTATTGTGTGCTGTCTGGATGAAAGTATGAATTTGAGAAAGCAGTGAGAAACAGGAGCTATTTACAGGAGTATTACTGTGCTCATAGCATTCAGATTACAAGCTTTGAGTTATTCACTGAATAAAGCTGGATGAGATGCTGTCTTCAAGCATAATTTAGCTACTCCATCCAGTGGATACTAATTTGAGAAGACTAGCTAATCTGAGTATTTAATTGCTTTCAGCATGATATATATTTCTTAATTCTTGAGTTGTCACCGTTTTTATCAACTGGTGATACAGCAGTAACTTGTTTTTCAGCTGGCTGACATATTATTTCTTTGAGAAGTAGTAAGAATGCAGGCATCATTGGGTCAGTTTTGTGGATTTAATTTCTCTGTGTATTTGTTAGACCACAGTGAAGCTGTACAAGGTGCTGGCATTGCAGGCGAGACATGTGATGCCCTTGGAAAACTTGAGAAGGAAAAATGTAGGCTATTGCTTTTCTATTAAGAGTATGCTCCAAGTGATGTCAGATGGAACAGGTTCACAAAATGATTCTTCTGTAAGGAAGATGGAGGGAGGCCAGTCTCCAAATGAGAACAGTATCTCTCAGTCCTGTAATGTTTGTTGCGTGGAGAACAGAAGTGTAAACATACAAGAATGAAGGCTTTTAAATCAGTGTGACTGAGACTGTCTCAAGTTGAGCTGCACAGTATTTCTTGAAAATTTTGCAGTCTACATTAAGAGCTTTTATTGCAGCATTTTTGGTGAAGCTGATTCCTGAAGACTCTGTTGTGTCTTAGGACAGCTAACTGTCCGAACAGTTTAGTAGCAGTTAAAATCCCTAAAAAAGAGGGATCTTGTGGTTAAGATGCTGAATTACATGTGGGGAGAATGAGATTCATGTTCTTGCTCTCTTAGTCTTTCCCTTTATTATCTCAACTAATACCTTTGTGTCATCTCCGCATGCAAAAAGTCACAATTATGTCTCTTCCCCTCAAGGACAACGCTGAAAAAAGCTGTGCATAAAACAATTTATCTGTTGGGGAAATTCTTCTAAGTACCAGGTTCTGTAGTCTGTATTTAAAACTTACCAGGACTTTCCTGTCTTATGCTGATTTTATGCCTTGTGTTTGAAATTACATAGAACTTGCCATGTACTTTTGTATATTTACATTTCCAGAAAAATGTTTGTAATTTTCACGCATAACTGTGCAGTGTCACTAAATTAACTTTTATGTACAGAGCAAAGGTGAAATATGCTATCTTAAAATAGCAGCAAATTGGAGGTGTCTCAGCATATCTTGGCAATTGCATAAATACTTATTTATGCAGAATTTGTTACTCTCTTTCCTGATGGCAATACATATCCATAAGAAGCATATTCGGGAGAAACTTAGAAATACAAATAAATTAACTGTCTTGGATGTCTGATAAGAATTTTTAATTAGTGATGCAGCCAGATATCTGTTGAGTTACAAGCACAGCCTTAGCTTTCTAAGCAAAGCACAGAGAAGGCACCTTGTTTTTCACACTTACTATTTCTCATTGTCCTCTGTTTAATACAGAAATTTGGTCAAATTTTCAGTGATAAACAACCAGTATAACAGTGGAAGAACTAATTATTGTTGATTTTAATTTCCAGAAAACAGTAAACTCTTGAGTTTATTTGCTAAATTGTAATTAATCTCTCCCTTCCTTTCGAGAATGAGGTTATGGAGTTAATGGCTGAGGACTCCAGTTGTCTGTTTCTGCACTTAGCTTTGTACAGCAAATACCGCTGTAATACCAGTTTCCTCAGCTAAACGCTTTTTAATTCTGACATAGTCTCTTGTGGATGGTGTGACCTCTGGAAATGGTCAGTAAGATTGTGGGTATTGGTGATTTGTCTACTGAAATCCAAGTGGACTGGAAGGAAATAAAGTTCTTTCTGCTCGGATTTTTTATTGGAGATTAACAAATGGCTATGCAGGATTTTGAGGGCAGCCCAGTACGGTTTGGCAATAGAGGTGGTTTGAATATCAGACTGTGTAACTATAGTTTAGATGTGCTACCACTCTGTCTCAGATACACTTGTCTTTAAATGGTCAGGATACTGATAGTTTTCAGTGTTTCTCTTTTTAATAGTAATTTCCATATGTTAGGATACCTTGAGAAATTTATTTTTCAGACATGCTGTGAACGAACTTTTTTTTTTTTATAGCCCTAAGATGTCATATTTTCTCTTTAAATTGTGCACTTTCCTTACACATTTTTCCTCATTATATTAGTCTAGAATGGAGTTATCTGATTATAATAGTTTAAAATGAGAGTTAGTGCAGTCTGTAGTCCCACATAAGAAGTCCTGTGCAAAACAAGAAGAGGATGAGTATTTGCTGTGAAGAATGTCCTTATCCTTTTAGCTACAAGAAACTTGCTATGCATACCTGTTATAAAAGGTTGCCCTTTTATGGGCACCTAAGTGTTAAAAAATTTCCCACGGTTGGCTATAAACCAGTAACGGTTTCCAGTTCCATGTGGACTGGAAACATAAAAGAAAGAATAGCATGGACCTGTCACTGTTTACACTTTCTATATGGAATGTTTGTTTAAAAATACAGTTCATTTGTATGAACCAAGATATTTCCTTTTAGTCTTGCACATTTTTAGTGTGCTCATTGCCTTGATGTAATGATGCTAGATTGCTAGCTGACATTTGAAAAGGAACGTGCACCTCTAGACATCTCTTATAATACATATAATGTTATCTCTTAGAGTTCTGGTGTGTAGATAATGTATTATTTTACATAAATAACAATTTCAATTCCAGCTACTCAGAATGAGTTATGATTGGTAACATACACATTCCTGTGATTATGGTCTCTATTTTGAATTCTGCCACTTGTTTAAAAATATTTTTTTCTTCATTTCTAAGAGCAAACCAACTGTGTTCTATTTTCTGTCTACAGTTTTCAGTTGAACTTGTCTGCTTTACTTTCTTCATGTTCCTTGGATTTTTTTTTTTTTTTTTTTTTTTGCAAAACCTGGACTTCACTTTGAGCCTTCAAAGAGTCCTGTAAAGTAAATTTGGATGTTTTCTCAAATCATGGAATAAAGTTGATTTGTCAGATCTTTTTTCACACTTTCACTTTTCTTGGTTCCATGTAAATCATAAGGAACAAGTTCTAGCTTACTTAGTAGAGTTTGTTTGTTGCCATTGCTAATTGGTTTGCAACACACTTCACTAATGTATTTTAAAATTATTTTTCTGTAGCAAAATGATGGCTATCGAACTTTATCCTTGTCCGGCCATGTTGGTTTTGGTAGTTTACCTGATCAGCTGGTTAAAAAATCCATCAAGCAGGGCTTCTGCTTCAACATTCTTTGCATTGGTAAGTAGTATCTGGGTGGTTTAAGGCTTTAGTACTACAACCGTCCTTAGGAAGTGTCTGAAATGTAAATCCAGTTGCAATGTTAAACCGTTTAATGTTAAGCATGAACTATAATTCCACCCCTTCCTCCAACTTTGCTTATTTGTATCCAACCTTTGGTTTTATATTTAGCATTTTCATGAACAATATGAAGACCAAAAATGTTGAAAATGGATACCATGCATTTATTGATTTATGGGCAGCTTTTTGTATTCTTCTGAGTAAACTGGACTACACTCCATTTTTACTGTAACAAAGAGCTTCAGATCAAAAAATCCTAAAATTCCAAGGTGGTGTTACTGAAGTATTTCTGTACCTATCAGATGTTTACTCTAGTATTTTACCTTTATTCACAAAACTCCTGTGTTGAACCCCATGGTTTCACAGCTAGTTACTCAGCTTTTTAAAGTCTGAAAGAAATTAGTTCACAGTTTTAAAGAGACCAAAGTGTCAAGAGACTGTTCTTCTTATTACTCATCAGCAGGTAATTCTCTTTTCTGTAGGATGGGATAAAAAATTAACTAAAAAGTACTTAGTGCTCCTTATGAAAAAGGAATGCAGACAACCATTTTGCTTGGAGAAATCAGTTGACAAGATTTTGTGTAAATTTGCTGGTTGCTGTGATAACACTTTCTGTGCTTAGTAGATATTTATTTGATGTGCAAAATGTCTTCCCCAACCCTTCTGTTTAACTTTAGGGGAAACTGGAAGTGGGAAATCAACCTTGATAAACAGTTTGTTTAACACCAATTTTGATGACTCTGTGTCAACGCATTTTTTGCCAAATGTACGACTTAGAGCCCAGACTTATGAACTCCAGGAAAAGAGTGTTCTTTTGAAACTGACTGTTGTAAATACAGTGGGATTTGGTGACCAGATAAACAAAAGAGATAGGTAAGTGCCCTCTTGTTGCTATGGTATGCAGAAGTTTTGATCTTCAATTATAAGTTCATTTTAGTTTGGGCTTTGTAGTAAATTCTCATCTTACATATGTTCGAAATATTTGGTTAACTGTTTCCTTTATGTACCAAAGTAAACATGTTTTTCTTCTCATCTAGTAAATGATTTGAGAAATCAGATGAACTCTGCCCCTTTCTTTGTGATATAATCTTTTATAAATGTAAATAAATAAAATGTGCAGTAGTGACTAGTTTCTTTTGGGGTGGAGGAAAGCATGGAGAAGGTCAATAGGAGACATTTTAAACAACCAAACAGGTTATAAGGTACTGTATATTATATAGATTAGATCTATAAGGTTTTTAAAAATTTAATTGGAACATATTGAAGACCTTAAACTGGAAAGAACATCACGTGGATTACTGAAGGCCTTTTTTTTTTTTTTGTGTTGGACAGCTTGATCAAAAGATGTAGAGGTACCATGCTAGTGTCTTTCAGAACTTTATTTGAGTGTCTGCTTTTCTAAATTGAAGATTTTAAAATATTGAACTATCTTTCAGTGGATTTTGTTTCTTTCACCTTAATTGTAAGGAATTTTAGCACTCCTGTGCTATATGAGTGCCTAAATGGTGGTAATGACAAATGAAGGTCAGAGAGTCACATTATCCTGAGAGCTATGGCTTATGATATGGCTGGAAAATAGCTACTGCCAGTGACTTGGATGAATGAGATGCAAGTAGACATTAGTATAGATATTAGAGGTTTTCATGTGTGGTACAGGAACTGCCTTTTAGTCCTTCTTTTAATTTCATGTGTAACAATTACTTCTGAATTTTGGTAGCATTTGATCTGGTTTATAAACTTTGTGTAGCAACAAAAATCTAAGGGCACACTGCTTGTACATCTAGCAACACTTACTTTTAGAAAACAGATTATAATCTGGATTTAAGTAGGACGAAGTATATTTAAGATGTACTTATTGCAAATCAGATTTACATTCTTCTCTTTCATTCCTCCTTTTCAATTTTTGTCTATTGTTTAAGAGCTCTCTCATGTACAGTACTTCATCTTCAGAAGATAAAGGAAGTCCTATTTCTTGGTACTGGTAATTGCATGTTCTTTCTTTTCTTGTGTTGTACCTAAGAGTTTCTTGTATCTTCCTTGTATCTAAGAGTTCTCCAGTTGCACAGCTTGATTGCAAAAATTTATAGAATGTCACTTGGGGAGGTCAGTTATAATCATAACTAACTTTATGTAGCTTTTTTCACTAATAGTAGCTAGGAAATGTTTTATCTGTTTTAGGTGCACAATTCTTTTTTGAGTAGCCTTCCAGAAATTAAGATTACTCTCTACATTTAATTTTTTGCTGTAGTGAGTAGATATTTGAGCACCCTTTTGATATGTAAAGCAAAAATCCACAAAACAATGCAAGAAGAATTCCTTTCTTACCCTGTTTCTGTTTAGGAGTAGCTAATCACTGGTTGTTAAATTTTATTTCTTACAGCTATCAGCCAATAGTGGATTATATAGATGCACAATTTGAATCCTATCTCCAGGAAGAACTGAAAATTAAACGTTCTTTATTTAGCTACCATGATACTCGCATCCATGTCTGCCTCTATTTCATTTCACCTACAGGCCATTCCCTAAAAGCCTTAGACTTGCTAACCATGAAAAGACTAGACAGCAAGGTAAGACTTTGAAACAGAGTTTTAAGAATTTGTCTTATTTTCTGAAGTATCTCACAGCTTGTAGATCCTCTGCCACCTTCTAGTTCTATAGCTGTGTGTTTGATTTGGGGATTTTTTTTGGTATTGGCATACCTTAAGTTCACTATCAAGTTTTGGGAGTGCTGGAAAGTTGTCATGTAAAAAACCTGGCAGCACTGTAAAGATCTTTGTTATAGATAACTGAAGAGGCAACTGCTATGAACAGAACACCCTGCCAGCGTGGCTTTTTCTAAGATAAGGCTGCATTAGTGTTTTAAACTTCACATCTTGATTTGTTCTGCAAGCTTTAAAATAGCAGTTTCTAGTGTGATTACTTGCACTTTCTAAAATTCTCAACTTTCTTGCTGTAATGGGCTGTGTGAACTGGATGAAGCTAAATGTTTAACTCATTTCAAGAAACCTTACATAAGTTGGGTTTAATTTGTAAAAATTTTGAGAAATTTGAAAACTTAAATGCATTTGCTCTTCCTGTAGCCCTTTCCTTTGTGCTTTACTAGGGCCTCTCCTGCTAAATTTTATTTCTGCATTTTCTTGTTCATGAGATGTTTCTTCAAGATAACAAGAACCAAATCAGCTGTCTATTCTGTATTTGTGATTGATGAGCACATTTGTTATTTTTGTAATTTTGTTTGTGGATCTATTTTGCATTTTGAACTTTCTCAGTAGCACAGAGCAAGTGTGGGGGAGGTATGGTGGGACAAAGGTAGGGGAGAGCAGGATCACTTCATTCTGCTATGGTGTTGGTTTATGCTGGATTAAAATGTTTGTGAAACTACTTTGTAATAAGCAGTGATAGCTAAAGAGCATTGATACTAGAAAATGGGACAGTTTCATGGAGCATATTGTTCTACTCTGAGTTTTGAAGTTGGAGGTTGTGTTAAACCACAAAAATACTTGGTTTCTAGGTTGTGCCCTCTATTTACTGAACTCCCTTTAAAAAATTTTTTCTTCCAAAAGAAAAGGAGATAGATCCACGAGTCCCAGCATCTTGAGAAAATATTTTTCCATCAGGATAAACCAAAAGTAATTCTGCTTTGCAGGATTTTAGCTTCTATACACTTACTTAAAATATTTGTCGTTCTGCTTTGGCTCAGAGAGAACATGAACGGCATGTAACTGTTCTTTTATCCCTTTGCAGTGCATTCTACTTTCTGCATCGCATTACTACAGAAATATACATATACACACACACACAAAAAAGTATATACTTTAACTGTACTTTAGTTTCCATCTCATTGTGGAACATGTTTGTGATGCTTTTAGTACTGTATTCTCCTAGTGGCAATTCAGAACTTGGGATTTCCCAGGATGTGGAAGTCTCTGGGTGCATTTGCTGAGTACAGGATTCTGTAAAGAGAAGGTGGTACAGCAATGTGCAATGTGCATACATCAAGCATATAAATCCATGTCAGAAGTTGTCTTAATTTTCTTCCTAAATCCACCACAGTACACTGTTATGCTTTTGTTACCATCTGCTTTGTAGAAAACAAGACCAGGTTACACAGCTCCAGGGTAAAGAGGATTCTTGGAAGAGGAATATAATTCTCTGCGATTCATTACCTAAGAAATTATCTCCTAATTAATGAGTGCTTGAAAAACTTTCATGTTGAAAAGACAGAGTAAAGGTTAATTTAATTCTGAGGACTCTGTGTTCCATCTATTTTTAAAGCTATATGACAGAAAACCTAAATTGATGTCCCTCAGCTAATATGACTGAAGCTGTGCATTATTCCTAGCTGTAATAAATTGTTTGTACAATCCTAAATTAGCTCAGTTATATATATAAAAAAATTCTAGCATTTTACTTGTTTTTAGATATTTTACCCCATATGTGCGTAGGTTGCATATGCTACACAATCAAGGACTATCATCACATAATCTTAGAAGTCATACTTTGGAGTTGGCGTGCTTTTTTTTCATTTGGACATTTTGCTTAAGACAGAAGACTTATTTCAAAAACATCCATTTTGAATCCGTTATTGAGATTCCATGTGTAGGCATTTCAATTCAGGCAGAATATTCAAAAGAATAAAAAGAATGTATGTGGGGTTTTTCTTTTTTTTTTTTTTTCTCCTTCCTTCTTGCATCTATGATCAAGGAGCTCTGTAAAACTCTCATCTTCTGAAATCTTGAAGAATTATTTGAAATGTTCTTCCAAAATATTTGGAACTTAGCTTTAATTCTTTGTATCTAGTTCTAAAAAATGCATATTTGGGGAGTGGTGATAGTATTTTTAAGAAAAATTTGGCATCTACTGCCTTCCTAAGTTCCTTCATAACTATTTTAGGAAATAGAGCAGTTTACCTTAGTAGAACTGCATTTTGAGTGCTGAATAATTAGTGTAAAGACTGGTAAGCAAGATTCTTCTGTCTTCATCATTCCTATGCTCGCAGCAAATATTTGAGAAACCCTTTGTGGCAGTGGTGAAGGTGAATAAGCTGATGGTGTAGCGGAAAGGAACCCAAGGAAGAGGGGTTCAGGGGTAGGCTGGGTTTGGTAGCCAGCTTCCTTTTCTTTGTGTATGTAAACTCTCAACTTTCTTTTAATGCCTGAACCATGTCCCCAGGTGCTATAAACTAAAACAACTTATTTTTTTAGCAGAGATGTAAATACTTAATAAGTAGGCGTTGCAATTTTTTTGAGTACTTCACTATATGAGACCTCCTTCCTTGTTCTTTTCTCAGAATCATTTTATTTTAAGGGAGTATATTAAATAATCTGTTGTTATTTTGTTAAACGATGCCGGTTAATGCATTTTTCATGGTTTGTGAAGCTTTATTATCAATTGATGGAAAAATTTGGACTGTGGGGGAAGTTTTAAGGAGCTTATCACCAAACAGTTTAATTTATAAAAGATGTCACCTCAAAATTTAAGTCTTACACATTTCATATAATTTGTATCATTAATAGGTGAACATTATACCAATTATAAGCAAAGCAGACAGCATTTCTAAAACTGAACTACAGAAGTTCAAGAACAAAATAATGAGTGAATTAGTGAGTAATGGCGTCCAGATATACCAGTTTCCAGCTGATGATGAAACCGTTTCTAAAATTAATACCGTCATGAATGTAAGTAAATGACAGAGACATTGATATTTGAGTACTAAAGCAAAGCATCACTTATACCAATTCATGCCTGTACTTTCACCATTATCTTGAGGCTTATAGGTTTGTATGTAACAAGTTTGTTTATTTTTCTATCTCCTTAAAAAGCTTGTATGTTTTGGGTTTTTTTTCC